AATAAAAGAAAATTAAAAATGCAGTTTTAAAATAAACTCTTCTCTAGATTAATCTTTTTCATAAACTGACTGTATAAACTTGCACAAGTCATTTAACCTCTCTGAGTTCCAGGTTTACTCAGATGAATTATTTCATTTTTAACTGGTTGTCTTGGCATGATGTAGACAATGTCAGACACATATTCGGTGCTCAATAAATATATTTTGAAACATTACATCAACAACTGTACTTTCTCAAAAAAAAAAAAAAAAAAAAAACAAAGAGAAGGAAAGAAACAGGAAAAAATTCAAAACATACTCTATTAAACCAACCTAGATTTTCCTGAAAAATATTGAAGTGATTCATTTTTATAATGTCATTGAGCTCCGACATGAATCAATAGAGTTATTACAAAACCAGAACAGGTATACTGTTACTTACCTTCTCTGACTTAGTGAATTTCCTGGGTAACAGTACCTAGGCATTGGGCACATAGCAAATGCTATATAAACGTCTTATCCTTGTTATTAGTGTACTTACAAAATTATAAATCCACTTGGAGGAAACCTAATCTAATTTCCCCCCTAATCTTTCCCAATGCTGTTACTTAGTAAAAAATCATCACTGTTTTCAACAGGCATAAAGGGAAAGAAGATGGCCACTTGGCTAATACTTGGAATTGCTTTCTGTAATTGTTCACGTAAGCACGCAGAGCCGAAAACACGAAGCTTTCAGGAAACTGTCTGACTATAAAGGCCGCGGGAAGAAGGAAGAGGCTGGCTAGCCTCTGAGCACCATAATAAAAGGACTCTATCTTTCTTGCTTTTTATCATTATCTAGTGGCATTCAGGAAGGTGTTGTGAGGATGGGGGTAGACAATGAGGGAGTGATTCTTTAGAACATTTAAACAGTAATGAAACCAACTCAGTGGGTCTGTGTTTTTGTTATCACTGTGCGCTGCCAATGCTTCCCAATGTCAGTGATGAGATTCTCAACTCGAAGGCGGACCTCTCCCGCGCCCCGCCCCACCCCTTGGACACTGTTTCACTGACACCGTCCCCAGTGCCTCAGACAATGCCTGGCACATAACAGGTATGAATTACAGGAAGAAATGTTAATGTGAGAAATAAGAATATAGAACTCCGCCTCCCCTACAATTCCCTTGTCTTTTCCTACTGTTTTTTTTTTTTTTTCTTTTTTAACACAAAAACCATAATATAAATTTCCCATTTACGTTGTACATCTCTGGCCTTTATTTAAATCCTATGAAAACTTTTAGATTCCACAGCTCAAGGAAAAATGTCCCTTCACTGAAGATAAATAAGGCTGGCCAATGGGACATGTGGGAAAAGTCTGAACGACCTGAGGTTAAGGACCCTAACAAGAGAATTTCAAAGGGTTGAAATTTCTGCACACAATGGGGTACATTAAGTTTAGGGTGGTAACCACATCAACTCCTTTTCCCCAAAAGCACAATAGACAATGTATAACAGAGCTTCTATGTCAGGGTGACCTTCTAGCATCAAGAAGGGCTGAAGTCTGTAAATAGATTCCAGAAGTCTTGATAGCAGGAGGATGAGGAAGTGTTTTCCACTAAGGTCAATCTTCAGTGACTATAATATACCTTTTGAAGTATTCGAGTCTGCGTAAATGGTGGAGGAAGGGTGACACATTGGTAAAAGCCAGTGGGGAACTTTGTGGGTAATGAAGGGTCAAAGTAGGTTAATGATTATAACAAATGTACCACTCTGGTGGGGGATGTCACTCCTGGGGGAGTCTGTGGATGTCTGGAGGCAGTGGGTATATAGGAAAACTCTGTATCTTCCTCTCGATGTGCTGTGAACCTAAAACTGCTCTAAAATATAGTCTTTAAAAAAAGCCAGTTGGGGAAAGGGGGAGAACTATTGTCAGAGCACAGAATAGTTTCATTCACACAGTGGTGTAAGACTCACGGAATGGTTTTTTTTTTTCTCTCTTATGATCCTGTGAAACTGGAAGAACAGGTGTCATTATTTCCATTTTCCAAGATGAGGAAACTGCAGCTCAGAGAGTTACAGTGACTTGTCTTCATACAAGGAACAAATGACCTTTCAAGACCGGTCTTAAAACTAGACTTCTGATTCCAAGTCCAATGACCAATACGCTCTCCACCTGTGTCTCAGGATTAGAAAGCTTTTAGAGAACAGGACAAATCTTATTTCCATCCTAGATTAGATTCTCAAAAATTGGAAAGACCTGGGATTATGAACCCTAACAAGGGACGGTTGAAGTCTTTGCTCACATTGTGGTGCAATGACTATAGGATGGTGACCAGATCCAGTAAAAGTAAATGCTACACCCTGGCTGGTTTGGTTCAGTGATTAAAGTGTCAGCCTGTGGACCAATGAGTCGCAGGTTCGATTCTGTTCAAGGGTGTATATCTCCGTTGATGTTCGGTCCCCAGCCCCCTGGTCGGGGTCCTGCTGGAGGCAATCAGTCAATGTGTCCCTCTCACATCAACATTTCTCTCTCTCTCTCTCTCTCTCTCTCTCTCTCTCTCTCTCTCTCTCTCTCCTTCCCACTCTATCTGAATATAAATGGGAAAAAAAAAAATCTCGGGTGAGGATTAAAAACAAAAGTAAAAGCTTCATCAGTTATCAGCGTAATTAAGACGGTAGTAGGAGAAAGAAATCACAACGGAAAATAAGAATTATCCCAACTATAAAATAATCCAAACTACATGCTTATCCTTTGAAAAACTCCAGACTGCTAAAAGGACTATTCTGAAATTACCAGCATTAATGGGCTTATGTTAGTAATGGAGAAAAACCAAAAGTCTCTAGATCATTCCTAGAAGATCAAACAAATTTGTGACTTCTCAGGATCAGTGAGATTCAAAAAGAAGTCACCAGGGAAACCAGGTGCAAAATAATGCCCCACCCAACAACAGCCGTGCCTGGGCCTTAGCCCAAAAGACAGTGGGTTCATGCACATCAATTTTAATGTATTAATTATAATAACCAATGCTTATTGAGAGTTTATTTTATGCAAGGCTTTGTCCTAAGAGCTTTGTACTTTTCTTAGTTTTTACTGAATAAAAATTAAATTTGCTTTGCAATATCATAACACCCTTTGAAGTAGCCAGGAAGTGCCCATTGGCACCAGACTTGGGACTAGCCACTCTGGTGCTGGCTTCACAGGGAAGGAGAGAGGAGAAGGCCTGCAGTCATCCTGCGAATTTTAAAGCCAGATAGTTCTGGACCAACAGAGGAATGTAGACATTCCTTTTTAAAAACAATAATTTAGCCTAAAGCAGGTCTCCAAGTAAGTTAAAGAGTTTTGGCTTACAGGTAGAAATGAGCTAGAGGCTGTTTCTAAGACCAACCTTTCAATATTTCAAAAATATGATTTCTAGGAAGCTTTCTTCATCATATAAGTCTCCAATGTTAAGCTTCTTCAATGCTGTCAATCATTTCAAAAAACAAGAGGCAGGTATATGAAAACCACTGACATTTCACATCATTTGACAGTGCCCATCAGAGACACAGTAATCAGATAGTTATAGGGTTTGGGTGGTGACTTGAGCCCTATACCGAATATACATAGTGGCTCTCTTTTAGTTAACATAAAAATGCAGGGGAAATATTTCTTTGTATTGTCCTTTGTGATACTCCACTAAGCATTGTTTTTCTTTTGTCTGGTTAATATCTGGTGTCTCATTTAAATAAGACAGAATCTTTTCTGAACCAGCAATCAATTTTAACATGCAAATACCTGGTGAGGTAGCAATAGGTGACATCTGCGATAAGATGTGGACTCCTGCATCAGAGCAGAGGTTTGCTCAGTAAGAGTGTAAGGGTTTGCTATGAGGACGAATATAGAATGGTGACTTCTTAGGTGAGGTTTAGGGGAAGATGTTAATATGGGTCCAAAAGACAAATCTGTGACTGCATCAATAATCAGTGTTTCCCTGCAATGCTGGGACCTGGGACCCGAGACCCGTGAAGATGAGTGACTGCACTCTGGAGGCATTGACTGTGACTGGCACAGGACCTCTGGTAACAGGGAGGGAGAGACGGTGGGCAGTGTTTATCCTGCTCTGAAAGTTTATTCTGTTTATTCCGACAGAAGTGTAATGTCTCAGTCACGGGTTCAGTCAAGTTCTCTGCTCGCTGGTCATCTCCAGTCACCCTCGTCAACAATTCTGTGCCTTCCAAATCACAGCAGCACTGGGGGGAGCAAGTCCTCGACTTGTTGACCGGTCACTCATATTCCCTGTCGGCACTTCTCATGTCCTGACCAGCCAATCCTCTTGTCAAAAACACCCCCAAAGATAATAGAATTTAAATGAGATTGTGGACTGCTAAGACACCAAAGCCCCAATGCACTAAAATTTTCTATCAAGCAGAGCCACCTAGTGGTAGGATGAAATGTTTTTTAAAATTCTCATTTAATTTGTCTTCTATAACAATCTCATCCAGGTGGGGTTTCCTTCCTTTCTTTCTTCCTCCCTCCCTCCCTCCCTCCCTCCCTCCCTCCCTCCCTCCCTCCCTCCTTCCTTCCTTCCTTCCTTCCTTCCTTCCTTCCTTCCTTCCTTCCTTCCTTCCTTCCTTCCTTCCTCCCTCCCTCCTTCCCTCCCTCCTATCTTTCTTTCTTTCTGTTCAGTTTACTCACTCTTGTTTACAGCTACCCACCTGGAGACTATCATCTCCATCTATTGTTCTTACCAAACACCTACTCATCCAAGATAAACAAACTTAGTCAAGTTTTATGACAAAAACAGAAGCCGACTTAACAGTCAGTTGCCATCTCTTTAGAAGGGGAAGAAAATCAATACTAAATTATTTCTTCAGGTAAAGAGTAACTATTTACTTTGTGCCTTTCTATTCTCCATACCTCACACCCTTTCTCCACCCTGCACACATATGCAGCCATGTAAAATGTCACATAAAACTTACAGGCCCAGAGACGGGGAGCAAAAGTGCTTTTACTGTGGTCTCCAGTGCCCTCCCCTATACATATAAACAGAAACTAGAAGTACCTTGGGCTGTGGTTTGATTCTTTTTCTTCTTTTAAAGTAGGTAAACATTCGCTGTTGCCTAGGACAGAATGAAAGCAAACATACTGTTAGTCCCTGAAATTCTGTTTTCTGTCTGCAAAACTCAGTTGAACATCACATCCCCCCAGTCTGTGTGGTTCCTTGTGCAGAGATGGCCTCGCCAGGGAGTTCCAGAGGTTAAAAGATTAATAGTGGCAAGGCTCTTGAAACGGGAAAAGGCACTAATAGCACAGAGACAAGACTCCAGTGTGCTTCTGCTCTGTTGCAAAGGGCACAATTCATCACAGCTTGGTCATTCAGTCCCCGAGGAACCCCGCCGTGCCTCCAAAAGCCTGGATCTGCATGATTCAGGAAACACACTGGAATAAAATGGCTTCACCTGAGGTCCTGATGTGCCAACAGAATGGTTTCAATCAGGATGCACCGTCAAAAAGCAGGTGAAGTGGGGAGCAAAAACTTCTTAAAGTCACCAGAGTTCTTGCCTGCTGCACCACTGGCATTTTTAAGGGAAATAAAGAACCATTGGCTCTATCATCTATGCCTCAAAATAGCTCTGTGTTAGTGGCAAATTGAAATGCCTTTTCCCCATGTTATGCTTTTAGTGAGTGTAAAAGGATCATGATTTTGTATTAAAATGATCTCAGAAACAAAAGGAAACACACCAAAAAAAATTTTTTTTTTTAAATTCTCACCTGAGGACACTTTCCATTTCTCTTCAGATAGAAAGAGGGGGCGGGAGAGACGTTGAGTGAGAGAAACACATCGATTTGTCCTTAGGATCCTGACCAGGGCTGAACCACACCCAGGTATGTGCCCTTGACCGGAATCAAACATGAAACTTTTTGGTCCGTGGGCTGACACTCTAACTGCTGAGCCAAGCCGGCCAGGGCCAAATACACCAAAAATGTAAGAGAAATCATCTTCTGTGTATGCATGTTACTTTTATAGCTAAACTAAAAACAACAAAAAGAGCCTACTTTAAGGGTTGTCTCAATGACCCACTTTTTTCCTCAAATGCTTTCCAGAGCCAAGTGGTACAAGTCAGTGGAGTGGTTCCAATCTTCTGGAAAACTCATCTTGACAGGCCTCTGGTACTATAAGTCTAATAACAACTCTTTGAATTAGAGAAACTTTATTATAGACTATTGAATCTGACAGACCCCATGGTATTTTTTTAAGATAAGTGTTAAAAACACAAATGATATGACAGTATAAATAGTTGGTTTTATTAATTTAGTCTGAGCATTAAAAATAACATTGACTTTTGCCCTGGCCGATTTAGCTCAGCGGTTAGAGCATCGGCCTGCGGTCCAGAGAGACCCGGGTTCGGTTCCCGCTAAGGGCGCGTACCTCGGTTGCAGTTAGTCCCCGGCCCTGGTTGGTTGTGCGGGTGGCGGCCGCTTGATGTGTCCCTTTCACGTCGATGTTTCTCTCTCTCTCTCTCTCCCTCCCACTCTAGCTGAACAAAAAATGGAAAAATGTCCTCAGGTGAGGATAAAAAAATAATAATAATAACATTGACTTTTAAAAATCAGAAAAAGACAATAACAGCTGTCATTACTTTTAAGTCCAAATATTAATTTAGTGAAAAGTAAGGAACACATACTACAATTACTGCCAGATATCAATTGACAATTGTTATATGGGAATATTTATATTACTATCTGTGTTAGTGCTGTCCAGTAGCTCTTTCTTCAGTGACGGAAATGTTCTAGGTTTGCAGTATCATATAGTAGCCACCAGCCACTAGCTCCTGAGCACTTAAAATGTGGCTAGAGTGACAGGAAAATATTATACTTTTTTTTTTTAACTTTAATTTAAATAGCCACATATGGCTATTGTCTCTTGTATTGGACAGCACTGATCTATGTCAATTACATTTGATAAAGTTTATAACCATATACAGATTAAAATCATAAATCTTTAAGTATAAGGTGGTGCCAGATGCTAACTTTTTTCAGATAATTTGGACTCAGATTTCCTTGCTTGAAAAAAGACCATTTTTCCATGCTGGCCGGTTTGGCTCAGCAGTTAGAGCGTCAACCTCCGGTCCAGAGAGACCCAAATTCGGTTCCTGCTAAGGGCAGGTACCTCGGTTGCAGTTTTTCCCCAGCCGTGGTTGGTCGTGCGGGTGGCAGCCACTCGATGTGTCCCTTTCACGTTGATCTCTCTCTCTCTCTCTCTCTCTCTCTCTCTCTCTCTCTCTCTCTCTCCTTCTCTCTCCCTCCCACTCTGTCTGAACAAAAAATGGAAAAATGTCCTTGGGTGAGGATTAAAAAAATAAAAAATAAAAAAAAAAGGCCATTTTTTCCCCCCGAGAAAGACCATTTGAAAAACTTGTACAAAAATAAAAACGAGTGGCAGCGATGAGATTATTGAACTGAATATTTAAGTACGGTCAGACCCAAGTGCATGTTATCTGCATGTACCAGAGTTTGTGTGGACGGGGTTCACACTGTCCCACTCCAGATATATGGGGTGTTTTCAAAGCTGTGACTCCTTCTCTTAATGGGGAGGACAGAAAAAGCAAGTTACCACATACCATTTCTGTTCATGTTGTTCATCCATTTATCAAGCTCTTCCATCTCTATTTCCATAACAGAGGGTGTGTCTTCCTCAAAAATAGGGCTAGAAAGAGAGCAAAATGCTTGTTGAAAGAAAAAAAAACGTGTGGTGTGCTAAATTTCTGCAGGGGAGCCTGGAATGTTGACTGTGAGGAAGATGAACTTGATTTGGTGTTTTACTCTCCAGGGTAGACTGAGGTGTGCCCTGTTCAAATGCACCAAACTCTAACAGGACGAAAATAAAAAAAAACAACCTTGACCTATCACTGATCCAAAAATGGGCCAAGAGGGAACCAGGAGGCTCTGCTCCCATGAAGGTACAGGGTTGAGTTCAAAGGCTTCTACACGGAGGCTCCTCCAGGGAGTTGCCACATTTAGCATTTGGCCTTGCTTAATTTCACTTCCCTTTCTTTGGGGATTTTGATCAGTGCCTCCAAGTCAAGAGGCCACAGTCAAGTTAAGGCTTGCATCACCTCTCCTTTCAATTCTCATGCTTTTCTGTCTTGGAGAAAAGGAGCGTTTGCTTTCAGAAATGCACTGCCCTCACTCGCCAGGGTTTAGAGGTCTAGAGCACCCAGTTGGGGGAAAGAAGCCCCTGGTTAATGGAGGTGGGGCTGAGGAGGGGGACCACCAGCTCTGAACAAAGGAGTTACACCTCGTATAGGAAGCGAGCAGTGTCTGAGTAAGGCTGCTGGGGGTGGGGGTGGGGAGCAGGCAGGAGGAGGACACGGGCATCACTCTAGAACTTTCTTCTGTGGTGAATCTTGTACTTCCTTTTCTCCCCATCTCCCCTCCCTCCCACCTTTCTTCCTCCCCGCTCTATTCCTCTTCACCCGGGCTCTTCCCTTAATACTAAATGGAAGTATCGAAGTATTGTCCCTGGTGATAAAACCTTTAATCCAAATAAATGAGCTGATGTCTTTAAAACACACCCAGGGTCCGACTATTTAACCACTATGCATTTGGAATTGGTAGCAGGCGTCAGAAAAAGATTCTGTTCTGAGCGGAGGATGCTGTCTTTGGCCCAGTTCCCCTCTGGACTGAGGTTTGAGGATAGGGACATCCTTCCAAAGGCTACAGGCCACTGGAGGCTGTCTCCTGGGGCCCAGGAAGCAAGATCCCACAAGGAACAAAGCTCTCGGAGAGGCAGATGACCCTCTGGTCGGCCCTCTCCTAACATCCTTGTCCACACTGAGCTGAATTGGAGGGGGTGGGGCAGACGTACCCTTTTAAGTTGTCGCTTCCCAGTTCATCTAAAAAAAGAATTAATATAAAGGTCATGTTAGCTTTATTTGTCTGCATCAACTTTTTGTTTCAACAACAGCTGAAATCTGCTTTGCAAAGAGAACAAAATGGCTTTCAGTAAATTGAGTTTTTAAAGGAGCAATAATTAACCTCTAAGTCAAACACCAGCTGATGGCCATATTCAAATGCGGTCCCAATCAGGTGTGAAATCTGTTTTCCTTCAGCTAGGATGGTGCTCAGAGAGGCTCACTGCAGATGCGGACGTTCACCCTCTGCTTGTTTTCCCCGCCACAGAGAGAAAACCATCAAGAAGCAAACCATTCAGAGAGAAAACATGGTGAAAGAAGGGGCCTACGAGCGGCCTGCGCCTTGGCCCCTGCTCCAAATGTCCCAGTTCAAAGCACTGCTTTTCATCTCTTTGTGACACAGCAAACCCAACACTGTGACCGTCCCTCTGTCCCAGAGTAGGACATGGGGGCTCCATCCAGAGCTCCCCTGGAACTCTCCTTGTACCTGTTCTTTGCATGGCTGGAACCTTCACACCTGTCCTCAACTTACACACTTTCCTCCGGGAGGCCTCCCCCAACTCCTCTCCCTGCCGGGGGACCGTCTTTCCTACTGCTCCCCAACTTAACACTTTGCTTGCTTCTTTCATAGCATTTGCCCCCATTTCTTATTGATCAATTCATCTGTTTAATCTTTTTCTTTTTTTTTATCCTCACTCGAGGACATTTTTTCATTTTTTGTTCAGATAGAGCGGGAGGGAGAAAGAGAGAGAAAAAAACATCGACGTGAAAGGGACACATCGAGTGGCTGCCACCCACACGACCCAACCAGGGCCGGGGACAAACTGCAACCACTGCAACCGAGGTACGCACCCTTAGCGGGAACCGAACCCGGGTCCCTCTGGACCGCAGGCCGATGCTCTAACCGCTGAGCCAAACCAGCCAGGGCTGTTTAAGCTTTTTTATCTGTCTCCTCTAATAGAGCATGGCTCCCAAAGGGCAGGGGTGTGTCTCTCTTGTTTGTCATCACCTCCCATCCATCTAGCACAGAACCTGGTAAACACACAGTACTCATTTACTGAATTAATAAATAGGTCTTACCTGGACTGTCCAGCACTGGGGTCAAGTTCATGGCCAGTGTTGGACTTAGCATTGTCATAGTAGTGCAACTTCCAACAAACCTGATTTCCCTGCTATTGGTTGAGGTAAGAGTCAGCTAAGAGTTTGCAAATGGCTCTAAAGCATGCAGATCAGACTCCAAACGCACATGTGGCAAGGATTAGAGCCCAGTGTCCCCGTGCAAGCTCTGTTTTGTTTGGCAAGGGGATCAACGCACCCAGAGAAATGAGGCAATGATGTCAAGCAAGTAGACAGCATAGGCCTGCTGCATCTTTTATGATGTGAAAACCATTAAGAAGCAAACCACTTTGTAGAGGTCCACCAAATAGTTGGATGTTCCTGATCCTTGGCAGTCAGAGGCCTCATTTTGTCTGGCCTGCAGAAATGCTGGTCCCCAGCGAGGGGACATAACCAGTAGGCACCTGGAACTAAGCTCCTGGCAACAGCCAAGAGCTGCTGTAATTTCCTGTGGGTTGGCAAACTTGAATGGCATTGCTAATCCACGCAAGCTGGGCACAGATGTAAGTTTCATGCCATCACTGCTTACCTTCCAGAAACTGTAGGTTATGTTCTCCTGCCCCACCCCCAACAGGACTCTGAAGGTTCCTGCAGTCGTGACTCCTCAAAACTTTGGGGAAAGGGGAGTATGGACATCATATATATATACACACACACATTTTCATCTAAAATTTATATGCTGTTTCCCTAAGGGCTTGTACTATAAATAAAGCCCCTACAGGTGACCCATAAAAATCCCCCTGCTTTGTCATTCCTTCCTCCTCCCTCTCCCTCTTTTCCTGCACAATAACCCCTCCTAATTTCTCAGGGAGCAAGTGTCTCCGGAGCCCCACTGTCCAGGGCATGGATTCATCTTTACAGTCTGCGCGCCTGCTGGCTTCGCGGTGAGCAAAAGCTAGCCCTCACTGCAGACGGTGGGAAAGTTTACAGCCCCTCACCAAAGTGCTCCAATAACACCGAATGTGAGGCTCCTGTCGTCGGGATTCAAGCAGAGCAGACAGCCTCTGCAGCCTCATCTCCTCTGCTCCGGGACCGTTAGCCCTGCCCCAGCCGCCATGGCAACAGGAAAACATCTGGGAGAGCCACCAGAGCAGAGCGTTAAAGCAGGAGGGGGAGCAATTGCCTGTCCGTGCAATCAGGCCCTGCCCGCGCCACTCCGCCTGGCCTACATCTCTACGAACAGCCACCCGCTCCCCTGCAACCAGGAGGCAAGTGGAGCTCTCACAGCCCCTCCCATTTCACATCCTTCTGCCCACTCCGTCCCCCTCTCTCAGTTCTTACCTTGCACCCACTTGTCCCGACCAGGCCCCCTCCCAGCTCCTCCGTGCACTGGATGCTAGGACTGCTGGGGTGCGAGGATGGGGACAGGAGCCCAGCAGGAGACTGGCCTGCTTATCTCGTTTCCATGCTGAACACTGAGCAAGGGAGACAGTCTCTCTCTAGAGATTTACTGAGCAGAGCCAGGTGCCATGTGGCCACAGCCCGTTTAAAGTGATGGTTTACAGCCAGCTGTTCCCCCGGCGGCTCTTTCAGAGAGACACAGCGCACCCAGACATTTAATAAGCGCTAAATAGTAACAACTGCAAATGTGCTGCCTGGGGGTGAGGGGGTGTGACAAGAGGACACGGAGTTACTGCACACGCTTCCCTTTTCCTGGACGGGAACCTGACGGGCCCAAAGAAAAACGCTAATTCCCAACTGGATGAAGCGTTCTTCCTAAAAATATTGGCCAAGTCCTCCCCAGCTGCCAAATTTAAAGAACCTACATGCATATAGGTATAACCCGGGGACACAGATAATAGCATTGTGAAGACATGGTGGAGAGTGGGGGGAGGGGATCAGTGGGGGATAAAATGGGGGACATCTGTAATACTTTCAACAATAAAGATTTAATAATAATAATAATAAAATACTTATTTCCTGGTGTAGAAGAATATACCAGGCTCTATTCATGGGGGAAAGAAACAATGTATCTATTCCTAATTCTGAAGAGATATTATCCATGCCCTCCCACAAAACAGTCCTTCTGCAACTTTTCAAGTCAAATGCTGACCCAGAATGAGCTTTATTTTTTCCTGGGAAAAAAATCTGATTATTAAAATCAGATTATGTTAATTTAAACATTCTCCTTTTATTGGCTTACTTATACTGTTAAATATGAATGGGTAGAACTCAGTGGACAATGATCATTAACCCTTTAGCATTCTGTTTGTCTGAAGAGATATGCAGGTATTAAGCAGTTATCCACCTGTATCTATATTAAAGAAGTGGCTAGTAAAAGAAAATATTCAAATAAAGCTCTCTTTATGAAAAAAAAAAAAAACTTTTGTGATAAGCAGCTGCTTTGAAATTCTAAGTTTTCTATGTTGTGTTTTCTTAAAGTGAGACCTATTGAAACTAAACAGGATGCGCTGGTCTGTAGGAAGGATATGTGAAAATTGCGTCTTTAATCTCTGAGAATAGGTGTTCTTTAAAACAAGTTAACTGTTTCAGTTATTCAACAAACATATATTGAGCAGCTAATCTTTATGTTGGGCTAGGCACCATGTTAGGTAAAAGGGATAATAATAAGTTAATACAATGTGCCAGGTGTTGTTTTTTGTAAGTGATTTCCATAGATGAATCCATTTAGTTCTCACAACAACTCTGTAAGCTAGGTTTTGAATTTGCCCATTTGGCAGATGGGGAAGCTGACAGAGAGGTCACAGAACTAGGAAATGCAAAAGCCACCAAGGCAGAGTGTTTCCAGAGTCTGTATTCTCAGCTCCCATGCCACATTGTTGAATGAGATAAATAAGACACGTTCTTGGTTCTCTTGGACCCTAAAGAGAACATAACCTAGTAAGAAAGACCAAAAAAAAGGCAAGTCACCAACTTATGCCAATGTAAATACTGTGCACAATTTAGTGTGACCACAGCCTAGAAGAGCACAAAAGAGGTGGTGATTAATTTTGCTTGAGGAGTGATTACTCAAGGCTTCAGGAAAACTTTAGAACTGAGCATTGAAGAATGGGGTTGCAGTTTGCCAAGCAGACAAGAAGGCAATGCCAGACAGAAGGAATGGTGTCAACCAGGCACGGAGGTTCATGAAAGTGCAAGCCGCGCTCTGGGAACAGCAAATATTTCAAGTCTGACAGCAGGGCAGGGCGCATGGGTCATGTCTGAGATGTCTGAGGTTGAGGCCGGGTGGCACTTATGATGGCTTCTGAACATTGAGATTCTTAAATAGTTCAATGCAATATCCCTTTCTGGATTTAGAGCATAAGAGCATGACCATTCGACTGGATAGCCCCACATGTTCCCTAACCCCATGATCCCATTAGGTAAAACCAGCTGTGGGGCTATCTATGGTTTGGACAGAAAATTCTCCCTTTCCCTACTTAAAAAAAAAAAAAAAAAAATGGGATCCAGGCAGCTCTGTTGCTTTTTGCTTTTGCTTTCTCTTACAAAGGAGCTCCCATGTGACCACTGTTATTAGGTCACCCTGAAATTTCAAGCAATGGAGGAACATGAGTATTTCCTACTTCCTTGGATTCTGTTATATCAGCCCCTATCATAAAGGGTCATGCACTCACATTTGCTGTACCCGAGGGCATAATGGAAAATGAGCATTTACAGTTCCTGCTGAGGGCTTGAAGGCTCTCCTGTGCTAGGACAATGAGCGAGACTGCAGGCCAAGGGCATGATCTCCAAGCCAGAGGTGCCCTGTGAATGGGTGTGAGGGGCATACAGTGAGTTTTGTATGCACATATGAATATGTATCTCATTAGAGAAATTCTCATCCCTTCAGTGATTTTTGGAGTGACTAAAGGCTTTCACTCAAAAATCTAATTGGACTAAGATACCCTAAAACCTAGTATCCGATGCTCCTCGAATTGGAACTGAATACGCTCAGAGTGAATCTCTGACCTAGAGAATGTTCCATGAGATTGGTTTTCTATGAGATGGATGATAGTCATCTTTAGCCAATTAAGACTTTGCTTATGAAAGTTAACATAGCTTTAATGGGAATAAGAACAATGCTTCACTCAGGCCTTTTCAAGATCAAATTGGGATGTGGAATGGGGGAGAAACGGTACCTGTGACAGAAATATAGGTGGAAGAATCCTCTTCCTGGGGGATGACCCCAAGGTCACTCTCTGCCTTCCCATCCCTGACCCCAGTCGGAGCCACTGCTTCACCAGCCTGGCCCGTTCCACTGGCCTGTTGGCCAAGATTATATGGGGCCCCCATCTGGATCAGGTAAAGAGCTGGCAGCTGCGTGTATTAACTTTCAGTTCAGGCTGAAAACATTCTCTCTCTCTCTTTTTTATTTTTTTATTTTTTATCCTCACCCGAGGACATTTTTTTTTTTTTTTTTGATATTTTGTTCAGATAGAGTGGGAGGGAGAGAGAGAGAGAGAGAAACATCGATGTGAAAGGGACACATCGAGCCCTGGCCGGTTTGGCTCAGCGGTTGGAGCGTTGGCCTGCGGTACAGAGAGACCCGGGTTCAGTTCCCGCTAAGGGCACGTACCTCGGTTGCAGTTTGTCCCCGGCCCTGGTTGCTCGTGCGGGTGGCAGCCACTCGATGTGTCCCTTCACATCGATGTTTCTCTCTCTCTCTCTTCCTCTCTCTCCCTCCCACTCTATCTGAACAAAAAAATGGAAAAATGTCCTCGAGTGAGGATAAAAAAAAAAAAAAAAAAAGGGACACATCGAGTGGTTGCCACTCACACAACCCAACCAGGGCCAGGGACAAACTGCAACCGAGGTACATGCCCTTAGCAAGAACCGAACCCGGGTCTCTCGGGACCACAGGCCGATGCTCTAACCGCTGAGCCAAACCGGCCAGGGCTCTTTTTTTTTTTTTTTAAGAAAGAAATACTGGCCCTGGCCGGTTTGGCTCAGCGGTTAGAGCGTCTGCCTGCGGTCCGGAGAGACCCGGGTTCGGTTCCCGCTAAGGGCATGTGCCTCGGTTGCAGTTTGTCCCCGGCCCTGGTTGGTCGTGTGGGTGGCAGCCACTCGATGTGTCCCTTTCACATCGATGTTTCCCTCTCCCTCTCTTCCTCTCTCTCCCTCCCACTCTGTACAAAAAAAAAAAAAAAGAAAGAAAGAAATACTGTATGGCATTTTTATACTCTGGAAAATTTCATTGAAACATGTCGTTCGCGACTTACTATTTTATGTGGTCCTTGTTTCTTAACTTAAAACCTCTCAGTCCCTTCTCCCACCCCATCCCCCACTCCAGGCAGGCATTAGGACAATACTCACAGGACTGCAAGGCACTCTGAGATCCTTGGCTAGAAGGCAGCTCTGTGTAGAAGCAAAAAGTATTCCGTTTTACTGACCGTTCACTGACACACAAAGCAATGGTCAATGAACAGTCAGTTTAGTGGGAACACACTAAATATGTACCTTGTTTAGTTTTTTTCCTTTTATGGTTTATTATGATGACCACCACCGAGAAGAGGAGGAGCGCCAATAAACTCAGTGGGATCAACACCATTAATAAAAACTCCAGCTGATTATCCTCCTCATCAATGAAGGTGGAATTCGTATAGTCAATGGATGTTTCTGGGGTCACTTCAGCAACTGTACTTATAATTGTAGTCTCTTCATCTGTATGTTCCTCTTCCAGGGTTTCATCTGTTGTATTATATTCTGACTCTTCTACGGTCTGCGGATACTCTGTGAGAACACACACAAAATTGAGATTGCGTGGAGACAAAGCGAGTATGTTATGTTTTTAATGATTTTTAAATTTATTCTTCATGCACCCAGTGATAATCTTAATTCACTGTATTGGGTCTTCCGGTTCAGTGGGATACAGAGTATTGATTTAACATAAATGGACTCAAACTGGGATTGCAAATAAACCTCCCACAGACAGGCAGTTTCGCCTTGACCGATACTTTCGACACATTTAAGCAAAGGCATTAAGAAGTTCTGTCCTGTCATGGGTGATATTCCAAGACATCTCATATTTTAATATCCCATCTCATAATAGGATATCACATTTTAATAACATTTCTGAATAAATCTAAATTCACATGTGCTGAAAGGTAAGCACTCGCCACATAACACTTGTAGGTTTAAAGGAAAGCAGTGCGCCCTAATTTTTCCTAAAAGGTTACCAATCAGTGGAAAAGCATTCTTTGAAACTGGGGTGACTGCTTAGATTTCAGTGTCAGGTCTCACGTTCTGCAGAGAACTGAGTCTGCCTCTGAGATTATCTGGCAGAAACTCTCCTATATTCTAAATAAAAATACAAAGTGTATTTCATTTGTAAAGTAAAATCCTCAAGGGGGAATTTGGAGACTGAAGAAACTACCGATATTTGAATTTATTTAGTAAAATGCACCTTTAGAACTTTCCCTATTCATAAGCTCTAAGCAAGTGAATTCTGTTTGAGCTTCAGATTGTGCTGGGAAATGATCCCGTGGCTCATCCCAGGACGGGAAAACTCTTTTCTCGCCTGGCTACGTGGTGAGCGTGGTCATGGAGGCTGAAGGCTTTCATCCTATCGTGGTATAATGTTGCCTAGCATTCAGATGGTGCCCGTTGAGGAAAACAGAGTGTGAGTTTAGGCTACAGAAAACTTATCAAATGAGATAATTCATGTGAAAGCTCTTTCTCAGGTGCAGGGTGCTGGGCAGGTGGACAAGCCGGTTGTTTTAAGCTAACCTGTTACTACAGGTTAGACCACTGCTCCATAGGCTGACCGAGCTGGGCAGGCAGAGCCCGTGAATACCTTATCTGCATGCATGACTGTCTGACAATGGATTCCTCTGACTTGATTTCTAAACACATTTGTTTGATCACAGTCCAGTTATTTTGATAAATAGATAATCATTTTCGTTTTCTCCAACACCAGGGATTCCACTTGATAATTACATTGGGTAAATGCCAGCCCAAACCATCAAAATCAGTTACAAACTGCAGAGTATAACAACTGGTGTTCCTCACCTGTATGTACCAAAAGCAGGATTAAAAAAAAAAAATCTACCATTTCTTGACCTCTGCCTTCTGAGATGAATGACTTTGTCCTTTGTTTATGTCTTTGAAACAATGTAAGTCTATACAGTATTCATTCAAGCTTGGATATATCATGTGTCATCCTGAACCAGGAAAAGGTATTTGTCTGCCAGGACCATGTCCTCATTCAAGTCCTCCTACTTGCAGAACGACTAGAACCAAGCAGCATTCTTTACTGAAAACCCAGGCCACTGAAGACTGATGTACGAGGGGGTGGGGTGGGGGTGGGGGAGGTGCACATACACAAGTGCAGTTGGTGGTAATGACCCTTTTCCTTGAGGTCAGCGCCCATGGACCTTTCTCAGATACCCACACCTCCCTTTCATTTCTCTTGCTGACTTCTGCTATGGCTGTAGCTGCTGCTACCATTTCAAGCAAACCTTTACAGAGAATTCACTAAGAGCCCAGTCCTGTGCTCTGCCTTTCGCCTGGATGAATTTACTTGTCCTTACCATTTTTTCAGCTAGAAAGTGGGACAAAGCGCTTACACGCGTGCCCAGAATCACAGAGCTATCGTGGAGGAAGGAGGCCTGGAACCTGGGAGGGCTGACCGCCGACCCTGGCTGGAAGGCAATGATTACAGACCACGAGGCGGTGAACAGGACAGGGGACCTCATGTTCTTGCCCATCAGCTTACAAGGAGGCAGCTTTCTTAGAGGAAGAAAGGGGACGGGTTCCCAGAAGCCTCTGCTTTGCTGAGCTCTGGCTGAGCTTCTCAGCCCAGACCGCCGTGAGCAAAGCTGCCTGGACGCGGGGTCTTTGCAGTGGCTCTCCAAGGAAGGCCAACAGGTTCCCAGGAACACTCAGCACTCTGGGTCACCACTTGACCTATGGCCCAGGAGCAAAGAAATAGGCTAGCAAGAATAACGAGGGTTTTTTGACAACAGGGAAAGGAGGAGAAATGGAAAGAATCTCACCAGATGGTTCCAGGTTCTGTACATTTATTTTTCAGCATAAGAGACAATAGTGGTCACAGGTGGCCCTTAGTGGCCTTTTGGAGTGAAAGTTCTCTCTATAATATCCCTCTCACACATATGTTTTCCTTGTTAAACATTATTTACTCAATGAGATTCGCTAATGACTGTTTAAATAAATGAGAATCCAGCCCCCCCCCCCCCCGCCTTTACTCTGCAAGCCTTCATCTCCAGACACTCTTTTTTTTTTTTTTTTATCCTCACCCGAGGACATTTTTCCATTTTTTGTTCAGATAGAGCGGGAGGGAGAGAGAGGAAGAGAGAAACATCGATGTGAAGGGACACATCGAGTGGCTGCCACCTGCACGACCAACCAGGGCCGGGGACAAACTGCAACCGAGGTACGTGCCCTTAGCGGGAACCGAACCTGGGTCTTTCTGTACCACAGGCCGATGCTCCAACCGCTGAGCCAAACCGGCCAGGGCTCCAGACACTCTTATGACAACCTTCTTCATGGCTCTCCCTGCCCCAACCAACTCCACAACATCCTCAAAATAATAAACAACAGCAACTAGCATTTATTGAATCCTAGTATGTGCTACGTACTAGGATAAACGTGTACTACCTAATTTAACCCTCACAACTTTCATGTTCGCCTTTTACAGATGAAGAAACTGCATCCTGAATGTCTTGGGCTGGGCTAGAACGCTGTCATTTATGTTGTAAGTCCCACTGATACGTTGGGTTTTGAAGCTGCCTTCCCTGGAGCTCAGGTGCCAAGCGACAGTGAGGGATCCAGGCATAGCTTTGTCACTTAGCAATTGTGGGAATTTGGACAAATTGTTTACCCCTTAATGGTTTCATATTCTACTCTGTACAACAGGAGTGGTCCCATCTATTTCCACGTCTTTATGCTGCTGATTCTAAAGCCTTGATTTTGTTTTTCATGAGAAGTTTTGAGGTGCTGTACACATGGTACTAAGCTCCGCAAGGAAATTTCCCTTCCACCCTTTCCCCAGGTACTCAGTTACCCTGCCCAGAGATAACCACCATTTCTTCTGTCTTCCCAAGAAACTCTTTGCATATACACATCTCTTCCTGTTTTCTTTTATTGACACAAGTGGTAGCAAAAAAGTTAAATATTGTTCTGTCTCTTGCTTGTTTCACTTAAAATCTGACTTGAAGATTCTTTCATGTCTGCATATAGAAAGCTGTCTTCTATTATTTGGAAGCAGCATAACTAATCCTATTAACAGAGATGTGGGTCATTTCTTTTGTATTTCCAATGACGCTACAACAGCCCTGTGCATCCTTCAGCTTATACAAGTGCAAGTATCTTCTGCAGTGCATCCCAAGAGTGGGGGCAGCAGGGAGAGGGCGTTGGGTGCAGTGGGGAGGGGGACAGCACCAAACTACTCTTGGTGGTCTGCTCTCACCACTTCTCCAAGGAAACTCTCAGTCAGTCCCCCTACAATGAGAATGGACAGAGACGAAGTCAGGAAAGGGCTGTGTGTGCAGGAAGTCTTCGATGAGAAAGGGGGAATTGAAAACATTGGGGATCAGCCCCAAGAATTTGTGCCAGAAGCATCAAATGTCATCAAAAGGGAGCTGGAAAACCAGTAACCCTGGAATCAAATCAGTAACCAGGAATAAGGACCACGAGGACAGAGGTGAGAGTTAGGCAGAAAACCAGAGGTGGACAAAACCAAGGTGGGAACGAGGGGAGCCAAAGTCACGGGAGCAGAAGGGCAGGGGAGCTGGCAGAGGGCATCTGGGGGACTTTTCTTGAAGCATTACAAGTTCTTCCCATGGCCTGTGGGCTAACAGCAACTCTTAACCCAATGGACATGGGACCCCCTGACACTGTGCAGCCTAAGACACCAGGAGGGACCCAGCCTTTTCCAAGAAATACCTGCTAAGGCCCTTAATTGTCCACAGTGATTTCCTGTAGGAGTCACCCTGTGCTTCTTGGAGAGAAGTGACATTTACTACCTTAGGAGCCCAGCACCCCTGCTGAGGGACCCAGAACTCTCTTTTACGTAATGAGCTGCAGGATGAACCCTGCAGACGGAGTAGGGCGAGTCCTTTCCTGAGTGAGGACTTCGTGGGCATCTCCATGGCATCAGGGGAAAAGGATTTGGATTCAGAAGAGCGGGGCTTGAGATGGGTGCAGCCCCCTCTAGCTGTGGGGCGTGGGAAGAGCCCCACACCTCTCCACCCTTCGTTTCCTGAAGGCCAAGAACCGAGGCCTGCTGCTCTGCCTATCCCACGGTGTTTGTGTGAAGAGCGAAGGAAATCACAAATGTGAAAATGCTGTATAACCCACAAAGTACCACACCTATGCCAGGTGTTGGTAGACTTGCTATTTCTTCTGTCCTCCACCCATTTCTTTCCTCCATCTCTAGACTTATTTGTTTCTCTGCTGTTCCCCAGGAGACTAATCTGTCTGATGTAACTTCTTCATTTCATTGTTGTATCTTCTGATCTAAGTTTAGACATATTTCGGGGTAAAAGGGGTGGGGCTGGGGGGTAAAAACAAAAAGCTGCAGAAAAGAGAGATGAAGAGGGTCCCACGTGGGAGTGAAGAGGGAGGCCTCAGCAAGCACACGTGGAGAAGAAAGAACAAGCTCAGTAGCTAAGAGCAGAGGGCTGTGGGGGGCGGCGGCTGGGCTGTGCACCTGTGTGTGACCCAGCTGTGAGTCAGGGGGTGCGGGCTCCAGGCGGCAGGTGGGCCAAGGC